TGAATGAGGGTTCTACTTATGGTAATGTCTGACTGGACCAACTTTCCTGCTGAGGCCAACAAAACAACTTCATTATAAAATAAAATAAACAAAGCAGTGAGAAATTACATGCCAAAAATCAAGGAGAAGGTAAATTAGAAATAAAGCCCCTACTTAGTCCCTTGTTCTGAAGACATTTGCCATTCAAAAGAAAAGTCTGGGAAGCAAAGCTGATTCACTTAAGGCTTTATTAGACTATGTAAAGGAACAAGGCCCACCAAAGTTGAATACTCAGATGAGCCTTTATCCAATTTAAGTTGAGACATTAAAAGGAGCATTGTCAAGATCAAGGGAAATTTGAAGTAGAAATAATGCAAATTTGAAATCCTAATATCAAATATATAACAGGAAGACTTTTAAGACTTGAATATGAAAAAAAATGATTTGTAACTGGTAGCAACACTATGTATCTTTCCTAGAAAAATATGCTTTCTTCAGAAAGATACCATTATCTCAGAACTCATATACCTATAATTTTTCAAAAATTACTAGCACAAAGGTATACAAGAAAAAAAGGAGAGCCAGTAGAAACAGAGTCATAAAAAATTTAAAAAGTGAAATTATCTGTCATAGAAAACAAATTAACTGTGAATACTATGCCAATAAAAGCCAAAATTCCCATTTTTAGCAGTTCTCCAGAAGTACTGAGAATGAACACAGGCACTATTTTTTAAAGACACTGATGCACTGATTCAAAAATCTCAATGAAACCAAAGCAGGACAAAGAATTCCACACAGAAACATCACAGTGAAATAGCAAAAAAAAAAACTCTGACAAAGAAAAGAATTTAAAAGAGAGATTCCCTTCAAAGCACTCACTGAGAATTAGATTGACAGCTTACTTCTTAAAATTAATAATGGAAGAAAGAAACAGTGGAATGTTATCATCAACCTGATGAAAAAAAACCCACACATCAGACAATTTACTATCCCTCAAATATTCAAGATAATCAAGATAAAATGAAGACATTCTAAGGTAACCAAAAAATTAAGAGAAATGGTCAAATAGGGTGTGTACATTAAGGAATTTCTAAAGACTACTCAAATAAAAGTAAAAAAGATCTCCAAAGAAGACTCAGAAATGCAGGAGTATATAAAGAAAAAAGAGAAGTGGGAAACACATAGGAATATATAATTCAACATAGATGGTTGAGAGCATTGCTATCCAAAAGAAATACAATATCAATCATATAAATAATTGAAAATTTTCTAGTACCAACATTTAAAAAAGCAAAACAAGGTAATACTGATCATAATTTCAACATAGAATCATAACAAAAAGTTGAGGTATAAACATTCTGTTTTCATACTGTTTTCCAAATCACCTGTTCATTTTAAATGTACAGAACACCACAATTTCATATGCTAAATTGTCATAATAAAAGTATTTGACCCATATTTTCATAAAATTTTCATCCGAGAAGATTTATGTATCCAAGTTGTTCCAAACAGAGGTTTTATAATAACTCAGAAAAGTATCAGTTTTCAAATATAATACTACATGAAAATAAAAATTCAGTATCTCAGTCACACCAGACACATTTCAAGTGCTCAAAAGTCATATTCAGCTACTAGTTGAATATGCAGAACGCAGGTAGAGAACTTGTTCGCAAGAGTTAAAGTAACATGTAAAATTCAAGTAACAACCATTATTCCATGTAAGTCAGTGAGGAATTAAATGTAGACGAAATTATCATCTAGGAAGTGTTAGGCTAACAGCAGAGAACATATTTGCCACATTGCTACAAATTTTCAGTAAAAAAAACAACCAAACAGAAAAACTGCACAAAAGAATTAGATGATTCAAAGACAATTCAGAAAGAAGAAATCCAAATAGCTAATACATTTTTGAAAAAAATGAAACTGAATCCCTATCTCTCACCATGCACAAAAGTTAACTCAAAATGGATCAAGGATCTAGGAATTAAACCAGAGACTCTGCATCTAATAGAAGAAAAAGTAGGGCCTAATCTTTATCAAGTGGGGCTAGGCCCCAACTTCCTTAATAAGATGCCTATAGCGTAAGAATTAAAACCAAGAAATCAACAAATGGGATGGATTCAAACTAAAAAGTTTTTTCTCAGCAAAAGAAATAATCTGTGAGGTGAACAGGAAGCCTACATCCTGGGAGCAAATTTCTACCCCTCACACATCAGATAGAGCTCTAATCTCTAGGGTATATAAAGAGCAGCCAATTTGGAAAGCAGAATGGAGATTCCTTGGAAAGCTGGGAATGGAACCACCATTTGACCCAGCTATTCCTCTTTTCGGACCATACTCAAAGGACCTAAAAATAGCATACTACAGGGACACAGCCACATCTATGTTTATAGCAGCACAATTCACAATAGCTAAACTTTGGAGCCAACCTAGATGTCCTTCAGTGGATGAATGGATTAAAAAATGTGGCATTTATACACAATGAAATATTACTCAGCACTAAAAACGAATAAGATCATGGCATTTGCAGGGAAATGGATGGCATTAGAGAAGATTATGCTAAGTGAAGTTAGCCAATCCCCCCAAAACAAATGCTGAATGTTTTCTCTTGATATTAGGGGGGGTGACTCAAAGTGGGCTAGAGAGGGAGAGCATGAGTGGAAAATTATCTCTAGATAGGGAACAGGAGTAGGGGGAAAGGGAGGGGAAGGGGAATAGCAAGGACAGTGGAAGCAGACAGTCATCATTATACAAAATACAAGTATGAAGATGTGAATTTGTGTCAACATACCTTTATATACAGAGATATAAAAAATTGTGGTATAAAGGTGTATTAAGAATTGTAATGCAAAAAAAATAAGAGAGCTCATGTATAATGGCATAATTTGTGGGAACATACTCTATATACAGAGTTATGAAAAATTGTGCTGTGAATGGATAATTATGAATATAATGCACTCCACTATTGTTATGTTTGTAAGAAAAAAAAAGCTTCAACCTCCTTGGTGATCAGGAGGTTGTATTATAATATAATAAATACAATGTAAATTAGAACAGAAACTAAAAGTACATTTATCAGCTTGATGAAATACAAAAATTACGAACAATATTGCAGAAATAAAAGATATATACCATACATTTCTGTGGAAATATAAATTGGTTTATCCATTGTGGAAAAGACTAGCATAATCTAGAAGTTGATGATAAACATAAATAATCTACAAAAATACAGGGTAATGTGTATAAGAATACATGTATATGAATACACATTGTGACATTGCTCATGATTACCAACAACTGAGCACAATCCAAATGTCCTTTAATGTTAGAACAATTAAATTACTTGTGGCTTATTTTATAACTATACCACAGTGAAAATATATGAACTACTGCTAAGCATACTATCAGGGTCAAATCTTAGCAACATGAACAAAAAAACAATAATAGAAGATACATAATATGCAATTCCTTTACAAGCTAATCTACAGTGTTTAGGAATGCTGACACAGGTAGTTTAAAAATATTAAAACCAGTAGGTAATTACCATAAAAGTCAGGATGTTAAAATCAAAGACTTGGGACTTCTTTTTTTTACTTCATTCTCTTTTTGCATTTTACCCTAAGTTATCAGGAAGAAGCAAGGTGCCCTTTCAATACTTTGCATAGTAATCCCAGCTAACTATCCAATTTCATCCCTTGCAAGTTTTTTTCAACCACAAATGCTAGAACACAAATACAATTCAACCAAGTCCTTTGCCACTGTATGCCAAGGGTCATATTTTCTCTAGTTTCTAGCATTATGTTCTTCATTTCTGTCTGAGATCACTAGAATCATTTTTAACGTCCATATTTCTCAGCTGTCCCTGAAAACTCTTCCAGCCTCTGTTGTAGTCTGTTTCTGATGCTATAAAAAAATACCTGAGCTAAGTAAACTAATAAAGAGGTTTAAATGGCTCAAAAACAAAAATAAAAACCAAAAAAAAAAAAAATCAGTGACGTGGGGGAATGGTCATGACTATGTGCACTGGGGTACTTTCAGCTCCAAAGATGTTCCAGTTCTCAAAGTGGGGAGTGGTTAAGAGTTTACTTTATTATTCATTATACTACATATGATTTCTTTTCCAAAGATTTAGTTTCTACAAAAATAAAAGGCACATTAATTATCTTGCTATATAATCTTTCTTATTACAACATGGTAAACAATTAGGTTTTCCAGTAAAGGAACATCTTAGTTTTGATCCCATCTGACATAATTACTGAACACACAGAGAGTAATAAGCACTAGGCATGATGGATAAATAGGGTCCACTACCAAAACTTTTGGGAAGTACACCATAGAAAAACAGTAAGTTTAAATGACAGGTAAAGGAATCCATACCATAGAATAAATAACATTAACACATTAAACATGAGGTTTATTTTCTGTTTAAAAAGGGAATACCTAAATAATGATCCTTCAAAATATCTTTACGAAAAATTATAGCTGGAAAATGAAAATGTTTTCAATAAAGATTGTATGAAATACATATACTTACACACACACACACACACACACACACACAAAGACATCGCTGTTTCTCTAGAAAAGACGAGGCACCTATTTGAAAAATTTCCCATCTACACTGGAAGGGAAAATTTTAATGATATCCCTTCTCTCTTTACCAGTTATAAAATTCAACATCAAGGAACACACAATCCCACACATAACTCTCTTAAGAACAGGCACAACGGGAGAAAGCAACAACGCTAAATATGGAGGGAAATTCCACTCAAGCATTCCCTGCCTGATCCTGTGTCAAAGTCACTCCAAAATTCCAGAGAAGGTTGCAAGGTAAGGAGCGAAAAGGGCACAACATCCAACATAAGTAATGCTACCGATGCAACTGGTCAAAATTCACACACGTGGCTTCTAATTCCCCAAATACGTCGCCAGCTCTGAGGAAAAAGTTTATTTAAGAGTTCGCAGCCAAGGTCCCACATATCTCACTGCTCTCTTAACATCCAACCCACGATGCACCTCACCTACAATCCCCTGCAGAGGCAGTATCCTCAGCACTTCCTGCATTAGTCAGGATGCGTTGACAGGCTCATGGGGAGGCTAGGAGACAGACAGATCCCGCTTCGCTCTGGCCTGCCCGGCCTAGAAAAGCCTGCCCCTTCCCAATATTCGCTGCAGCTTTCCACCCTACCACTTTCGATTCTTCTTTGGCCGCTGGCGTGCCTGACCTTCATTGTGAGACCAGTCTAATAGACATTACCTCTCGCTGCTAGCTTGGCTTTATCAGCGCAATGCCGAAATCTAGCGACTACTGAATTCGTTTCCCAAGCTCGTCCCGCCGCCACCTCGCCTTGACTTCACCTGCTGCTGCCAGCCGTACACAACCAACTACTACCAGCATGCCCTGCGCACGTATCGCCTCTGGCTCCTCGACCCGCCTCCCACTCAACACGTGACCTCCTTTCGCCTCCGTCCACGCCCACTTCCGTTCCTCCACTCTCCCTTCGGAGGGAGGAGGGAGATGGGAATGTTAAAGAGTACGGACTTCCTCCTACTCCCCGCCCCCGCCCCTCTACCCCCCGCTACAATGTCTTCCGGGTCGCGAGTGCCTCGGAGCCTTCTGGGAAAACATCTCATTTCCTCCCCTCCCCCTCCTCCTCCCTTCAACCAACCAGCCTCCCGTCAGAGAGGGGCATGCGCAGTGAGTGCCTCCCGTCTCTTCTACCCGAACCCCCCTCCCCCCCCAAGCAGAGAGACCCCAGCAGCAGCAGCAGCTGATGATGAAGAGAGAGGCAGTGGCAGAGGGGGGGCACCTTTTATTTCTATTTTTAAAGGGACAGGACACTAATTTTACCCCACTTCAACCTTGAATTGAGGGGGGTGGGGGGAAGGCGGCTGAGTTCCTTCCCCCACCCTCCAGCCTGGAGCCCTGAGAGGGGGATTGAGCCTGAGAGAGAAGGAGAAGGAGTTTCTTCCTCTTCGAAAACCTCCATCCACGACTCCTACCCCCTCACCCCTCCACTCGCTTCCCTCCGGAGCCCCCTCCACCCTCCTTCTCTTTGGCCGTGAGAGGAGGAGAGAAAGAGACCAAAAGCCTCTTAGCAACACAGACCCTTTGCTGTTGCTGCTGCTGCTGCTGTGGCTGCTGCTGTTGCTACTGCTGCTACTGCTGCTTGGCCCTGGCTGGAGACATCTCACTACACCCAGGAGCAGCCACTTCCCCAGCTCTCCTCCTCCTCCTTCGCCTCCTCCTCCTCCACTCCCCCCCTTTATTACCCTTTGTGTCATCCTCCACAGCTCCAGGGAAGGCACTCAAAAGTGGGGGGCAGGAAAGGTAAGTGTGTTTGTGGGGGATTCATTGCCTTCCTCTGGCTCTGACTTTCACTCCGGGGCAACAGTAGCACCAAACCACATACGCAGTGGAGCTCCGGGGTGAGGAGGGGGTGGTGCTCAGGGGGGGTGAGAGAAGGAGGGGTCGGAGTGAGGAGGGATGTGTGAGGTGGGGTGCCCATCCTGTCAGGGGAGGAAGGGCACTTTTATTTTTATTTGCTGTTGTCAAAAGTGGTTTCTCTTCTTCAGCTAACATCTGATTGTGCCTTGCTCTAGTGGGGGAGAATACAAAAACAACCCCCCTCCTTCCTCCAATGAGGCGCCAGGGAAAGAGACAGAAAGAGGCACACTTTCTAGATGTCACTTAAAAAAATTTCATTTGGAGAGCTTTTTCTCTTTGCCCAGGAAAAGCTCTACTGCATTTGTTTCTGAGTGGGAAAATGTCGGGATCTGGATTGTATTGGAACTGCCTATCCATTTGTAGACCTGAGTGTTTTCCCCTTTTTGGTCCTGTATGTGATTTGGATATTGACTTTTGGGTTGGAAGACTTGACTGGTTTTTGCGTTATGGGTTTATTTTCTCCATTTCTCGTTTGATCTGAGTTGAATAGAAATTTTCAAATTTTTAGTTTAGAGGCCTTTGGTTAGATTTTGACTTGCATCATTGCTTTTTTTTTGTTGTTAAATGTTTGTTTCATATATGAGTTTATAAAGTGCAGAACTTAAAATGCTTAAAGTTTACATGCCACTGGTATTGTCTTACCCACATATGTTTCTGGAATTTATTTTCCATATAGGATGAGAATATTAGCTATTTCACAATTAACTGAGTATTTTTCTAATCCTTGTAACTTGTCTGAACAAGTAATCCCTATTGAAAACTTTATGTTGTTCTGGCTACATGGAAGGCCAAACCTCTCCATCAATAGTTTGCCGGATTGGTACCACTTTCAGTTTTAACTGAATTATTTATTTACTGTTGTAAATTGAGATGAGTTTTTCATCTCTTGGGGTACTGAAACAAATTGTTCACTATATGTGAAAGAAAATAAATGTCTAAAATATGTTTTCATGGATCAAAGAAAACAAAGTTGTAGTTAGTATTTTATAGTTAGATATAAACTGAAAGGTAAATCTAGGTTTAGATTTATAGAGCAACAATCTTGATAAAAATCACTATTCTCCATTTTCACATGGTATGTTCATAGTGAATAGCTTTCATTCAGTGCTTTATTTCACAAATGCTAGAAAGTATGTTTCTGATGTAGGCCTTACACTAGGTCTTACATTAGGAGTGGTATTTTGTTTTATATGCATTCTTTATCCTTTCCTTGAAGATGGATGCACACATATATTCCCTTTCTCTTTCCCTCTTTCTCTCTTTCTCATTCTCTCCCCGACACACATACACATACACACACACCCCTTTTTTTTATCTGCATTGGTATCTCTGCCATAATTTATGTCAACAAAAAAATATTCTTCTGTAAAGCAGCAATTTTGTGATCATATTGGCAATATGAAAACAGCAATTTGATCAACTAGAAAGGATTGAAGAAATATCAACCTAGAAGGATATTTGCCATAAATATTATGAAGACATTATGATACTTTCTTATTTTCTGGCTGGTAAAGCCAAGACATAATATACTTGTATTTTAGTGACTGAAAAGCATTACATATGTAGAAACTTGTTCTATAAAATTGTAATTACCAACTGGGTGCAAAAATAAACGTTTATACATAACAATAACAAAAAATTATAAAAAAGAAAAAAGAGCTGTGTAGCAGTAAGCAATATGGTCTTATTTCTCTCATTGCTATTATACATTTGAATAGTTTCCTAGCCTTTCTCTGAGGTGTCATTGATGCACTGAAGCAGAAATTTGTGTTCAAGTTTTTCCTCCACACATCTATACTGCTATTCCAGGTCCACCTGAGATTTTTTTTGTCCTTACCTTAAAACCTCAGCAACCTTAACGTAGGAGACAGTAGAACATACTGAAGAAATCAATTTTAATAAAGTGAATTGTATAGGTAATTGGGGTAGTCATCACACAGTGGGCAGCTGAGTAAAAATTGACAGTCCTTGATTAATACCTTTACTTTGTTTCTGTTTCCTTTGAAAGTATTTCTTATTTTATCACTGCCAGGTTAACTCTTTAAGGTTGGAAGACTCCAAATTTTCTCTACTTTTGATAATGATTTATGCTTAGAAATCTTTTATTGTGGTTTATTTTTTAAGTGTTAAGAATTATTGATATTTTAGGATGGTAAGGTTTCAACTAGAAGGTATCTTGGAGGTCATTTTATCCAGCTTCATTTTCCATACCTCTGAAGTTCAGAGAGCTTGAGGAACTTGCCCAAGGTTCTAATGCCTTGAGTGGACACAGTACAGGGAACAGAGAACTTTAACACTTACTGTACTAATTACTCATTGTTCTTTGTCAGAAATGAAACTGTCATGTACAAGACCACATACAGCACTTAAGATTTTATATTTTATAAGAATAGTAAATAGTGTTAAAACTTTGTCCTATTATAATTAATTCTTTGTTGTTGATCTTTTTGAGAAATACTAACTTCACTTGTTGTGGATTGTTAATATTTTTGAGAATTATATTGGCTTTCTCTAATGCTGTTTTTTTCTTAAACTTCCAATTAGGAAACATATTTTCTACTCTTGTATTAAAGACTCATATTTATAAAAAGATAAAATTCACAGCGTATTGTAAATGTTTACATGATAGTCTTACCTTAAAGAACTACTTAAATAAAAATATTTTTGTGTTATTTAAACTTAGTCCCTCACTTTTAGCACAATGCCTGATGTACAGTAGTCCTTACTGGTTGTTTGTTATAAATCTTTTATTAGGTTTAGAATTAGACAAAGTTGAATTTCTTTACTTCCAACTGTGAGATTCCCTTTTCCTTCCTCCCTTTTCTCTTTCTCCCTCTAATTTTCACTACCATGAAAACTTTTTTCTTGAGAATTTTTTTTTTTTAAATCTCTGCTGCGGTTCTCACTTTTTAAAATCAACAGCCAAATTAAACACCAATGATGATGTAGTACTCCTAATAATAACTAAAATCCTATTCACTTCTAATCATTACACAGAATAGAATTTAACAAACGTGATTGATTTTTGAATAAGCAATGATAAAAAATTTTACATAAAAATGTAAATGTTCAAGATGCATTTAAACTTCACTTCATTGAGTGAATGGTGCAAATAGGTTGACAGAATTATTAGGCCGCTTTTACCAGCTCTATAAAGCAACTGTTACTTAGGTGACATGTTTCCCTGACTTTGTTTTTTTGGTCCTTACCCAGACAATTATCAACTTGCCAGTTTTCTATGGATATGAAGATTTACTCCTAGTCTTCAATGGGACCCCATGAAGTCAGCCAGAAAGCCTATGTCCAACTTATGTACCTTTGCAAACTTGTCTGGATTTTGAATGTATGTGCAAAACAGATTGTACTTAGCTATTCATTAAACATCTATGGAGCATCTGCTGTCTGTCAGGCACTGTGCTAGGCATGTGAACAAACAAGAATGGTCCCTGCAATTTAATGTAAAGAGATTTCTTAATTGTATTCCACAAGTGTATTGGTCATATATTTACTTTGGTTTACCTAAATGAATTTTATATTAACTAAATGAATATTGTTAGGTAGAATAATGCATGTTTAAGAAGGATATTGCTGTATTTTATTAATATAGAAAAGATAAATTTTTTTTCACTTAATTCTGTATTCTACGGATTTCTATTCTGTTTATAGTTCATTCATTTAACACAATGAAAATAGTGTATGTGACAACCATTGCTGGATTTTTATTGCTAAGTATAATTAATTTTTTGAAGATGACCAACACTTCATTAATTTCTCTCT